AGCTTCATCTTCATCAGCATCTTCATCAACATCATCATCTTCATCTTCTTCTTGCTATGATCATTCTCAAGGATGTCCTGCCCCAGGAACAAAACAACTTGGCCAGCCTTCAGGAGTCCCAGACACTTTGATGTGGTGGGGCAGGTGCAGAGGCAATGGCGATGTGTTCTGTGTCGGGGTGACATGGGCTGGGGATCTCCTCTGCCGATGCTCCACAAAGGAGAGAAGCTGTGCTCAGCTGGCAGGCTTTTTGAATTCTTGCGTTTGACGAAGTAGCACAACAGCACCTGTGGACAGGTGCTCATCCTTGTGCACCACCGAGGGGGACTGGGGAGCCACCCACTGGCGGGCTCCAAAAGTGCACTTTGGAGACACTCATCCACTCCCATCCAAACGGAGGCCCTGCTCTTTCTTGTGTGTACATGCTAGAACCAGAAAACTCACAAACAGCACATTGTGCACAAGCACACAGCCACACCTATCCCTATCCATGGCTGGTATGGAGTCAGTGGGCTGGAAGCCCCAGAGAAGGCACAGCATCCTCTTACATCCCTCTACGTGATTTAGCACAATGTGGCTTTCCACAGTTTTTAAGAGCCAGCCAAGCCGGCCATCCATGCAAGAGCAAATGGTAGCCACTCGTTCTGGAGAGCCGCAGCCACATTCTTTGCAAAAGCCTTTTCTAATAGCTGCACTGATATTGATGGGCCGCTATCCTGAAACACGTTTAGCATGACAGTTAATGCAGCCTTGAATGTGAATCTGCCAAGTTCTTGGGTAGCTAATAAAATTAAACTTGTCTACATGAGGAATCTTTTGGTCCTAGATTATATAACTGATTGATTGCTATATATCCAATATGTGAGAATCATTTAAAGGCTTTTGAAGACAAGTGACAGCTCCCCCACACATGAAAAAAGAAAAGAAATATTTTCCTACACCAAATATTTTTGTATTAAATTGGTAGCATATGCATAACATGTTTTTATGTGCTGTTATTAACAAAAGGACAACTTTGTAATGAGCTTAATTATTTAAGGAGATGCATATTGATACGGTGATTTCAGAAAGCTCAAACCATTAAATGGCAAGATGCAGCCCACAGTTTTCAAAGCTATCCTAGTGCTTGCAGAATTCATAAACCAAGTAAACCTTCTGACATAACGATAAAATGTGGCATAAACCCCAGGAAAAAATAGCCATCTTGAAAAGGGTAACAGCACTTTTATGAGAATTTCAACTGCACCATGGCAACATCAACCTGTCAAAGCAAATGAAGGGCAGTAAAACTAAAATTAAAAATGATGAAGGGGACCCCAGCTTGCTAACAGCTTTCCAAGCTGTAAAGCTTTCAAATGTTATCTCTTCATTGGTTTGTTCAATCACACATGTCTTTGCTACCAAGCTTTATCATATTATGTATCTTTCCCATCACTGCAGGCTGCTGAATTTGATCGACTTATGCATGAAAAATACCATTTTTCCCCAACTAGCTCATCTTGCTAAATTCCTTTTCCTGTCCTTATTGGTTCATTTTTATTGGTGCCTGTATTGACACCTGCAGGCTACAATAGCAGTGACAGATTAGCAATCAGGTCTGTTGCTAGGATTTATGTGGCCTTGGGCTGCAAAGCCGCTGGTGAGACCCCTGCAGTCACTCATTTCACCCTGGCCTCATCTGGTCTCATTTCCATCATCCAGGGCAGGGCAGGGCAGGGCTGGGCAGGGCAGTCCCAGTCCCAGCAAGTCTTCTACAGTGGACCATCCGGGGGGAGGTGCCAGGCACCTCTGGAGGACAACGGTTCTTCCCCACATCTGCCTGGAATCCCAAGAAGCAAACAAGCCGTGCGATGCGCAGGGTGGAATTTGGTTTGGAAGGACACACGCTGTGCAGAGCTGACAGGGAAGCAGTTAGTGCCAGCTCCAAACAGATTCAGAGACAGGTGGCATGATCGTGATCAAATCAACTCCGAAGCAGCAACCAAAGGGCTGGAAGGCAAGCGGCAAGCGAGATAATGTGCCTGAAGGAAAGCCCGTGGTTGGGTGGAGCAGACGAGTGAAGTGAGTTCATCTGTGTGACTGCGAGTAATTCCTCTTGCATAACAGACCTGACTCAGAGCTGGGCTAACTTTTTTTGCGGGCACGTCAACCATGAACTCAGATAACAAATGTACCACAGGGTGGGGACAAAAGCAAAACTTCAAATGTTCATTCAGTTCATTTTAATCAGAATTCATCCAATTCGTACCTTCTGGACCTAACATAGACACAAGCTGTAGTAGAGGTCCATACTTTTCTGAGCTCAGTGCAATTTCCAGACCTCTCCCCCAGACAAAACTGTATGAAACCATGCATTAATTTGGAAAATGCACATGAAAAATGCATGCCTTGGAAAATGCACATGACAATGGGAAAGGCACACAACTGATGCATGCTTTTGAAAAATATGCACAAAAATACACAGAGATTTTTGTGCAAAAATAAAAAAATCTCAGAATCTGATATGGACTTGAGTCCAAATGAGCTTTGAGATGGGATTCAGAGAACTTTGAGAAATGTGCATGTTTCTAGTTCAAGCTTTGTTACCAGAAGGATATGCATGTAGTTTGTAGTTCTTCCACCACGACTGTTTTTCAAATTGAAGCAGCTAAGGGCAGATGGCAAGTGTCCGAGTGGGAGATGTGCATCCACGCATGAATGTACGCTACTGTTTAACATCTTCCTTTTGCTCCTTTTCAGCTCCAAATCACCACCATCAAGCTGCTTATACATGCATGGGAGAGAAGACACAGCCACCAAACCCAAGGTTAGTCCTACATTCAGTAGCCCCATTGAAATGGGACCCCAGCTAGTCTTCTGCCCCTTAGGGCTAAGGATTATGCAGTGTGATGAGGTGAGAAACTGGACAATCAGCAGGGCCTCTGCACATTTCTAAGATCCTGCTTGAAACACTGAATTCGGTTGTTCAAATCAGCAAAACAAAGGTCCCACTGAGGTCATCCCATGGACCTGAACCCTGCCTGCAAATGAAGTCAGAGTTTCTGAACCTGCCTGGCCACCACTCACCTGAGCATAAGTACTAGGGTCACCCACACCTAAGATGATGCTGTTGATGCTGACAATTTTTCCAGAAGTGGTCTCACTGCCATTAGCCAGTCAGGGACCACCCCTCCCAACATTTACCCAGTTGGTCATCCACTCTCCACACCGCTTCTTGCACCAACTCTAAGCCCAGCTTCGACCTTTGATATGTGCACTACACATTAAGTATATATCAAAGGACGTACTGGGCAAGCAACATATCACCCTACCCCAGTAGACTTCATTGTGAGGCTGCAGACCTGACCCTGACACCATTGCACGATGCAGTCCTCAGGGCTTCATAGGCACGCATCGGTATCCATTTTGCTGCTTTGGGACTTGGTCGGAGCATGCCATCTGTGCTCTCACAGTGTCACGGAGAATAACTAGCTCTATTTGTTCTTTATGTCACTGCATGGCAAGGCACTCTCCGTGCTGTCTCGATGCATGAATACAAGCCAGAGTCTGGTGTCCAGAAATTGGCTTTAATTTCTCTAGCACTGAAGTGCGGCTGCGAGATATCAGACAGCACCGCCAATGCCTAGGGCAAGCTGTGAAGGACATGTTCTCAGCGGGTTATAGGGGGCCTTTCAGGGTGATGGGGCCAAGATGAGATCAGACACATCAACAGACTTTAATTTTTCCCCCCATAATCAAGTGGAAATAGTTACTCAGATCCTCAGAAATGCTGCTAGAAAACATGGCTAGGGAAGTATTTATTTTTATGGCAGTTTGAAAAGTAGGCTTCATGGTAGATGCACAGAAAATTAGAAAAAAATCTCACAGGCCAATAATCAAGTATGACCGTTTTTATATCATGCCACTCCACGGAAAATCCTGGGGTGAAGCACAACACGGCTAGGTTCAGACAATACGAAGCCCTGTGTTGTTGTTGTTGTTGTGTGTTTTGTTAATTACTTAATGACAACACACATTTAGGGTATAAGAGTGTGTTCTTGTGTTGTCTGAATGCAGCCAATGTCTGCATATCCACTTGCAGAAAATTCCCTGGATGAGGTGGAACAAGGAAGCCATTAAAGCCTTGTTCTGAAGCTGTACCCCACTTTCAAAAGGTTCTGTGTGGTTCTCTCTAGCTCTTCTTTTGGGGTTGCAGTATTTTCTCCTGGAAGGATCCCTGGGATGCATGATGGACCAAAATCAAAGCCTGGAATTGTTAGCCCCTTATTATGAGCTGGTGGAAAGAATCCACCATTAGCAGCAAGAGATATTCTGTCCTCAGCCACAAGAGGCAGACACAGGGAAAGTGGTGGAGGAGCTTGGTTCCAATTTATTCCGTTCATTTATTGGATTTATAATCCACCTCTTTCTTTTTTAAAGAGCTCAGAATGACTTACATCATTCTCCTGCTCCTGCTGACAATCTTATCCCCTGGGGGAGAGGTAGGTCTGAGGGTCTGGGGCTGGCCCAAAGTCACCCACGAGGCTCCACGACTGAGCAGGGCTAGAACTCCGATCACCTGAGTCCCAGATCTGCGCTCTTAACCACTACACCACACGGGGTCCCAGTCGACTGTGAGGACGCCACATATCTGAATATCTAGGGGAGCCAGTGTCAGGCAGCTCTGTAGGAGCAGAAGCAGCATGACCCCAGGCAGGGACTGGTGCTTCCTGATCCATTTTTGGACCCCTTGAGCATCCAGACAGAAAATGCCCTGAACTGAGAGGAACAGCCACCAGAAAGTAACTTCTACTCCCTGCCCAAACATCCGTGAGAGCGCTAAAGGTATTTTCCTGTTTCAGGGCTTGGTCCCACAACAACAGTCTCCACCCGCCTGGCACTCTGCAGCTTCCTCACATGGAGAGCTTGCAGAAAAAAAACGTGTCCCTGAAAACCAGCACCAAAACCAATGTCCCCAACCAAAACCAGTACCCTGAAAACCAATGGACTGCTGGGCTCACCTTTGGCAGTGAAGACTATTTCAGATAATGGAGTCAGCTCCTCTGCAGTCCCTGTTAGCTCTTCTTTGCTAATTCAGCAGCTTCTCCAGCCACTCTCCTGCTCCTGAAGCATGTAAACATTTTTTTTTTAATCATCATTCATCTTGCTGTTTTAGCAGCATGTTCCTCAGATTATTTATCCACTTGCCATTTTGAAATTAACAATTTATTGAAGAGTTTACGATTAATCTTCCCATTCACTCATCAGCAAATCAGCACAAACATGCCACCTTGGAGTCCACTGGTGTGGGCTTCTGCAAAACTTGCATATCTTCTCGTTCTCCTTCCTTAGGCAAAGTCATTCAGTTTTGCAAACAGCAAAACACAAACTCAGACTTCTCAGCTTTTATGGATCTCTTAACTCTGCTCATTAACTGTATTGCCATCCTCTTATCTCCTTTGCTAGACCTTGGAGTGTTCAAGGGAAGGAATGGGGAGCAGGATCCCATCTGCCAAAGTGTGGCCTGATATGCAACTTGAGCTGGTCGCCTTTCTCATAACGCAACACAGCTAGGTTCGGACAACACAAACCCTACTTTTTAGATTTAGAGACAACAGAGCTGTCATGTTAGTTTGTTGTTCTCATAAGTCAGAGTGCAAACTACTGCAGATGGAGAAAAAGGGAGCCCTGCTGTGTGATTAAGGCTCCAACCCTAAAACTTAAAAAGAGAAGACTGGGGGATAAGTCACATCTTCTCACTCCAGTTAACTTAAGTATTTTATTAATTGGACTGAACCATTCAGCTCTAGTATCTTTTTGGCAATGGCACCGAAAGGATGAGGGAATTAAAGAGATCAAAAACCTAAATCAAAGAAACTAACTGTGCAATAGAATTCATGTTTCAGGCACTGGGTTCAGCTGCCGTCTTCAGAAATGCATATCGCACATCTGGTTTCTTTGTCTCCTTAATATTGGTGGGGACCTTCCTGATGAGCTGCCACAGAATTTGACAGCTCCTATTCTCTGTAGGGAGCAGGGGCTTTAATTACTATTTTTTTTTAAAAAAAATCCTCTCTTAAATAACAAAGCAGCACAATAGTTGAAGGATCATTTCTTGTGGGAGACAATAACTGGACAATTGAGGGACAATTGATAAGTAAGGCTTCGGCTTCTGAACTGAGCTATTCAGAAGCAAAGAGAATGGAATTCCTGCTGAAACACACGGCAGCCCTAAAAACTTAATTTTCCCCAACTACAGTGAACTTCAAGTGCTGCAAGTGAATTGCAATAAGGGCGGGAGAGATATCAGAACTGGTCTGGAAAAGAGAAGAACTCGGGAAATACTGGTATGCAGTGGACTGGCTCTAATGTCTAGATTTTCCATGAAAAGTGATTAAGGACAAATAGCAAGACTTGATGGCTAATGTGGAAGCAACTTCGCGTTCCAGAAGAAGCTTGCCTAGAAACGTTCATTCCATGGAATATTTGTTAGTCTCTATGATGATTCAAGATGTACTGTTTCTGCAAGCACAGTCCTTGCCCAAGCACTCAGTATGTGAGGGACCTATACGCTTTAGAAACATGGACTCCCTTCCCAGTCTTGTGAATCCTTCCTTTCCCTAACCAGATGTCTGCCTATCTTTATTTACTTGCAGCCTGTCATGGCGAAAGCCACTGAAACAGGAAATACAAAGCAGTTGGTGCCACTTTTCAATATTGATCCTCTGCAGTTTTAACCTGGAACATATATGAGTAATAGCAAAAGGTGCTCCAAGGATCAGTTGGCAGGACAAATATAGGCTCAGAATCCATTTATTTTTTCCACTGCACGTCTAACATTTCTGAAGAATGGTCTGACTGCAGTCATAATAAAGTGAGACCAAGAGATGAGGCATGAGGAGGACTGACAATTTCTTGTTTCAGCCTCTGAGTGCTGAAGAAGAACATTACTGGCTGGTTCCCTTTTTCAGCCTTTGACCAGTTGCCCCTGTAAATTATGTTACCCTGAGAGGTGACGCAGGCATTCTTTTGTCACCATTAACCATTAGCTTTGGTTAATTAAGCCGTTTGCAAATGTACTCATGCAACCAAAAGCATCAGAACCTCACCGTAAGATACACGAGGCTTAGCTTCCATGCCATGTAAGTGTAAAGACACGCCAGTATCTTACATTTTCTTCAAGTTAACTTGTTTGTTGCATTTATGGTATAGGAGGCATACCGCAAGAGTCAGAGCTGTTGCACTAATGTACACAAACTACAGCTAACCCAGTCCAGAGTGACTGAGCATACTACAGGGGTTTTCAAGCTAGAACCATAGAAGAGTAGAGTTGGAAGGGGCCATGGAGGCCATCAAATCCAACCCCCTGCTGTTGCAGGACACCAAGTTGCACCATCCCACAGCTGGGGACTGGGGAAACAGGATAACCACTTTGAGGACACTGAGGCAGAAGCAAAAAGCACCATACACATAAAATAGTATTCTGTGTATTAGTTTCCAAACACAATTCCAAAAAAATGAAAATTCTCCAAGACAGCCGGAAACCGAGCAACAAAAAATGCCAACAAAAGAGCAAAACACCAAAATCAGTGCAGCATGGCTCCTGGTGAGCCATCTCTCCCCTCTCTGCCCACCCTGGAGGCACCAGTGCATGCCGCCCCCCCCATGGATGAGGAAGAGGTGTTGGAGCCCAGCCAGCCCCCTGCCAGCCTGCAGCAAGCAGTCCAACCCCGGACTGACAGGACATCTCCTGTGGCTTGGCACTGATCCATGGACCAGTGGTTGAAAATCATTAGCCTACTACAGGGAGTTGTCAAAAATCAGTGTTTGCACCAAAGAGTTATGACATATCAATCAGTCCAGAAGGGAACTGAACTTTGAATTTAAATGGCTCAGCTCATTTGCTGGATTTGCCTCTCCTTCCACGACCACCCAGAGGGCCTCTTCTTCTGCATATCTTAGAGGCCACCAGCAATGTTTGGCCCTTCCAGGTGCTTGGGAAAAGAAGGCCAGCAACACCTGGCTACATTCCGGCTGATCATTATAAGAACCCTATAACATGAAGAATGAGTTTCTTGTGCACCTTTCCCATTCCCATTTGTGTTGTCTCTTTGTAATTCATAAGCCTGAGGGCAAGGACTGTCCAGTTTCTGTTGATCAGCAATGCACTTGGGATACCTTTCGACTGAACAGTGAGCTATAAATACTTTAAATAATGAATCAATAAGTCCCCTGAGTATAATGGCCCAACTCATAGCAAACTGGAGTCTTCCAACTGTTTTAATAGAATATGACTATTTTTCATCCAGTTCCTTGAGCTGTGTGAGCCAGTGCAGTGTTTTTCAAACCGTCCAGGAAAACATGGGCTTTGTCTGAAAGTTTTCAGGAGGCCCTCAGTGAGAATACTAGTGCGGTGGGCAAGCTTTCCTGAAAAGCAGCCTTTCGCAGTTCCTCAGCAGGGAACGCTTGGATGTGTTCTAAGGCATCTTGTGGACTCAGCTGTCTCTTTGGCGCCCTAAAGGAATGGATGCACCTAAAACATAGAAACAAAGCGAGTCAAGAGGGGCCTCCCAGGCCATCTTCTCTGACCACTAGCTCCAGCTGGCTTTGCTCATGTCATCTCCAACATGTGGGAGTCCATGTGGGAGTTCTTTCCTTGAACACCCTCACGGATGGGGCCTCAGCCACCTCCTGTGGAAGCCCAAGAACCTAGAACTGTTTAGACTCATCTGTGCTGCATTGCCCCAGCTGTGCTACATGTGCAGATGTTCCTCGGTGAATGCACTGATGTGGAAAGTCCCATGAAGGCAGAATATTTGAGGACCGTGGCTTTAAGGGCTGAGAGAAGGACTTCTCCCCAGTCCTTAATTTATTAAGATATAGACTGTGGTTTACAAACCAGGAATAGCCAATCTGCCTTTCCCCAAATACACGGCTTGAGTGTATGATGAGGACCGTACCCAGTTGCATTGCCTGGTCGAACACTCCAAGATGGAGAGCAAAGTTTGCAGCAACTGGCATCTTTGCTCTACCCCCAGCCTGTCCTGCTTCACCTCGGTGGAGAAAAGGACAACCCCGAGATGTTGTGCCTGACTAGTAACTATGACAGAAGGTAACGCGCCACTTCCAGACACCAGTCTTGCACTTTTTGTGTTGACAGAAATGAAATGCCCAGACAGGCCAATTTTAACAAAGGAAGAGGAAGAGGGAAGACTGGAATATATCTTTTTCATTTCCCCATTATCTAGGGCAGTTTGAAATGTCTTAGAGGAAGAGTTGGAAGGCCAAACCATATATCTGCTCACCTCTCCTGTGGCAGCTTCTCCAACCACAGCCAGTTGGAAGAGCTGCTATTCACAGGCCCAACAGTTAGCAATTCATCATGTCAGTGAACAAGGAGGGCTTCCCTGGATTGATCCAAATACCCTGGAGGCACAGGGGCAAGATAGAAAGCTCCCGAGTTCCCGTTAACATTGCCTCTTTGTAATAAAGGCCATCGGTCCCTTCTCTTTGTTAGGATTCTTATCATGCTTTCTTTCTCTCTCACATATCCAATGCCCTTTTATGCTGCAATACCTGGAAAGACTTTCTCCCCAGTGAAAATTTTAAAAGAAACAGGTTATGGCAAAATATTCAGTTACAGGTGACACTTAAGGAGAGGGAAAATAAGCTGTGTAAACTCACCCATAATTTTTGAATAAATGTTTGTAGCACTCCTAATTGGCAGAGTGTTCTAGACAGACAGGTTAAATTGATGGCTTGTTAGTGAGGACTGGCCCCTTTGTGAGTTGTTTTCAGAATGATTGATTTACAATAAAGTGGCTCATGGTGGGAGCACGCAGGTGGAACTGATTCGGATCGATTCCACAGAAGCTGACTAATCAGCTGCTTAAACTGGCAGAGTGCTCAGTGACGGAAACTGTCGAGCCATCATTTTCTATCTGAGATTACAAATTAGCTCATTCCATTTATCCTGTCCCCCATCAATGTGGGAGCAAACAGGGAAGGAAAAGGGGGATTCTGGAAGACATGGACAAACAAGCAGCCTCCCTTGATATGGAACTGCTATGTGGGCCGAGAAAGCGTACACATAAAGGGGGCAGGGGAAGCTATTTGAGATTATT